TAAACGCCTGAGGCGATACTTGCCATATAACTAGTAAACGCCTGAGGTGATACTTGCCATATAACTAGTAAACGTCTGAGGCGATACTTGCTAACAGCAAGAAGAAATGGACTTTTATGAGCCACATCTGTACAAAAAAACCCTCTAGAATCTTGATATTATCAACCAAATCCTTCCATTCCCACCCACCCCTTTTTTAGTCTAATTCTAGTTAGGGCCCTTTCACCTACATCCAGTCATCTATCTGAGGACCTGCTCTCATCCAGATTTCTACAGGCTTCATAACACCTACCACCTCTTTTAAAAACCCAATTATTTGTATAATTGTATATCAGTACTATGGGAATCTCACTGTGGAATTTCTGACTTTGTTGTTAAACTTTCAAATCCTGGTTAAGGTTCTATATTTCCAAATTTGGAAGGGACTGCCAAAACTATCTAGTTCAACCCTTACCCAAAGCAAGATTTCTCTTTGTAATGTTTCCAACAAGCAGACATCTAATTTTTAAAGTCTTTCAAGGCAAGGAAATCACTTCCTGCTGGGACAGCTCCTTGCAGGGCAGGGGCCATATTTTTTGCCTTTCTTTGTATCTCCAAAGCATAGCCCAATGCTTGGCACATAGTAAGCACTTAACAAATGCTTATTAATGACTGATAGTCCTAATTACAAGGAAGTTTTTTTTTCTCTTACAGTTAGATAGTCTGCCAATTTGGTGGTTGAACCTTGAAATCCTATCAACTTTGTAAAATAGGCTAACTGAAATATAGTGGTTGTTGACAGAGTTCTACTAGAGATCTGGCTCATAAAAGTCCATGTCTAAATGTTCCTGGCAGTTACATCTTGGGATGTTTTGTTTTGTTTTTTTTTTAATGAAAGATTATTTTACACTTCCATTTTACAATAGTTTCATTTTCATCATTCATTCAATAAGCCTTTTCCCAAGTAATGAAGCCTTCCTACTTTTTTGGGGGCAAAGATTTCTTTGAGTTTCTTAATATTTTTTTAAGAGCTTTATGCTAGTTTGTCAGCTTTTCTTTCCCTTCTTGGAATTTTGTCCTTCTTCTCTGAAGGGTTGTTTGCTAGTGACATTTCAATCAGTTTCTGGTGACATTTCAAGATGCTCACAGGATATGTGCTCTGTCACTCCCACATCCAACAATAACATCTGATGCTCCACCCATTTGCAATATAAATGTTTCTGATCATAATGCCAAGGGTTTTACATTCCATCTTTTCTAATGCCATTTGTGCCCCTAATCATTCTATATGATACCATTTTAAGCATCTTCATTTTTATGTTTCCTCAGATGTCAGCCTGTTCCAAATGCTGATCCCATTTGGTGAACTTTTAAAATCAATAGTCTCCTTTGCAAATTGTTTCTGCTTATTTGATTTTGAGGAATGTTCTTTTGCCCTTCAACACCTTATCCTAATCCCAAGCACTTTACAATTAATTATTCAGATGATTCTGTGAAGTCAGAGAACTTGGGTTTGAATCCTCTTCTCTTCACTACCTGTGTGATTTTGGGCAAGTAACTTAACTTTTCTTGGCATTAGTTTCCTAATCATCAGAATGTAGGGTTTACACTTTTAAGGTCCCTTTCAGCTCTGGATCTATGATTCAGAATGAAATAACTTGCCTATGGTCACACAACCCCTAGGTGGCAGAATGAGGATTGGAACTCTAGTTTCTCATCCCTACTATGGAAATCAATGAAATTTGTCTTTGTTGCTCAAGATTCCTATTTCTATTCTTTTCCTCTCTTAGTGCCCCCCTTTCTGCAGATTTTTCATGTAATTTGATTCCTCATCTGTAGAGGAAGCCATCTTATAAATGAATTCACACATATGAGTTAAGGTGACTATAGGAGTTATTTCTTTCCTGTAGCTATTGCATTTTAAAAGATAGTTTGGGGGAGAAAAGAATGTCAGGCAATCAATAAACATTTATTAAGCACCTACTATATGCCAGGCACTGTACTAAGTGGGATACAAAGAAGCAAAAGACAGTCCCTGCCCTCAAGGAACTCACAATGTAGTGGGAGAAACACCAAGAAAACAAATACGTACAAAAAGCTATATAGAGGATAAATAGGAAATAATTAACAGAGGTAAGGCATTAGAATTAAGAGGAGTTGGGAAAGACTTCCTATAGAAGACAGGATTTTGGTTGGGACTTAAAGGAAATCAGGGAAGTCGGTAGAAGACAAGGAGGGAGACCATTTGAGGCATGGGGAACAGGCAGAGAAAATATCCATAGCAGAGAGATGGAGTGTTTTCTGTGTGGAACAGCAAGGAGGCCGGTATCACTGGATTGAAGAATGCTTGGTAGGGAGTAAGGTGTAAAAAGACTGGCAAGGTAGGAAGAGACTAGGTTATGAAGGGCCTTGAATGCAAAAAAGTGGATTTTCTATTTGATCCTGAAGGTAATAGGGAGCCACTAGAGTTTATTGAGTTGGGAGGCAGTGTAAAATGGTTGGACCTGTGCTATAGGAACATCACTTTGAAGGCTGAATGGAGGGTGAATTAGAGAGTGGGGAAGAGACTTGAGGAGGCAAACCCACCAGCAGGCTATTACAATAATACAGGCATGAACTGATGAGGGCCTGAAGCAGGGCGGTGGCAGTGTCGGAGGAGAAAAGGAGACGTAATTTGAGAGGTGTTGTAAAGGTGAAATTGATAAAGGCAACAGATTGGATATGGGGAATGAGAGATAATAAGAAGGCAAGGATGGCATGTGAATCTGAGGGGCTAGAAGAGTGGGCAATCCCTTTGCAATAAAAGCAAAGGTAGGACATGGGGAGGGTTTAGGGAGAAAGATAATGAGTTCTTAGTTGGACATGTTGAGTTTAAGAAGTATACTGGACATCTAGCTTGAGATGTCTGAAAGGCATTTGGAGATGTGAGATTAGAGATTAACAGAGAGATTAAGATAGAATAGATAGATTTGAGAATCCTTAGCACAGAGATGGTAATTAAATCCCTAGGAACTGATGAGACCACCAAGTGAAGTAGTAAAGAAGGAGAAGAAAAGAAAAGACCAGAACAGAACTCTCTTGGACACCTACGGTAAGAAGGCATAAGGGCATCATTTGGATGATCCAGAAGA